GATAAAACCCCGTTAACTCGTACTCTTTGTCTTCTGTCCTTTAGAAAGTCTTGAATCCAGTCGGCAACCACTTCATTGATTCCCATACTACCTAACTTTACTAGAAGACCTGAATGAGAAACCCTGTCAAACGCTTTGCTAAGGTCGATGAATATGGCATCCACCGGTATATTAGCATCAGCTGAGCTTGCCCAACTTTCTCTGGCCAAAAGAAGGTTGGTCAAGCAAGAATGACATACATAAGAATGGAAACATACGTTTCCAATACCTGACTATTTGAAAACCTACCAGTTTAAGGTTAGTCTCACCATTTTTACGTCTTGTTTCTAGCTGGGACAAAACTTCTTTTCGTTTAAGTCTGTCTTCCAGAGATAAATCAGGTCTGACTGAATTTCCTGACCCGGCAAGTTTGTGTACATTAGCCAGTAGATGATTCCGTTCGTCAGGAGAACCTAAGACTACTTTGAGCAATCTACGCTGATTAGAACATCCATCATCTCTTTTGCCTATTCTAATCAGCTTTTTAATCGATACTCCATGAAAATTCGCTGGGAGCATCTTCCTTATAATACTACTCACTAATTTAAGGTCATGATCGTGCCTTTTCACGGGATCAAATTTTTGGACTCTTCTTAATTTCCAACAATTATGTTAGAGTCTAAGGAGAGCTTGTCGTGTTTAGCAGTGGCTACGTCTTTTCTCACCACTATTGATGCAGCCTGGCTGCAGGCGACAGACGTTTGCCCACCATCAATATTACTATGTTTCTTCCGATTGCTTATTTTCGTTACCCACTGATCATCTGTCTGCAGTTGCTTCTCAGGGCTGCTGCAGTTTTTGATGGTACAATCGAGATCAGTGTCTGCACCACCTTCATGGTGAATTTCGCTTACAGTGTTCTCTGGTGCTGAGATGCTGTTTGCAGCTTTCGTTTTTTTACCCTTTCGCTTGCTAAGACGCTTCGAATGCCTAGTAGGTTTTACTTCCGGGGTAACTGGGATAGTAACCGCCGGTGTGGTAACATTCATGATGGCACTTGCTGTGTCATCTCCAGACGGGCAGTCTGTGTCACTATTACTAGCCACGCTATCATCAGGAAGTTCCATAGCCTTAGACAGTAGTGCGTGAGCCTCCCTTATCAAAGTCATCTTTGGGGAGCAACACACTATGCACATCCAGTGGGATGTTGGAGCACTACAACGTTTGTATGCAGCTGGACGTAATCAAGTACACATCTTATGATACCACTTTTTACAGTTATTACACTGTATCCCATCATCTACCAAAAAGTAACACTCCGCCCTATTACATTTATGTGGTACTTTTAACATAATGAACTACTGGAACAGCCAAGACAATTTACCCAATATAGACTATATAAGCGTTTAAAATCAAAACTTAACAGACAAAAGTCAAGTTAAAGTTTTTAAAAAATGTTCTTGAAGTGAATAACACAACAAAAACAGCGATTCCATTATGGGTAAATTTTATTTTGATAGAGTCTCACAGTGTTATACAGTAATATTTACTGATGACGTTTCGAGCACAATTTATTGCTCATAATCATATCAAGTTAATCACACGACTTCCTAAATTCATTTATATAGTTGTGATCGAAACGTCATCAGTAAATATTACTGTATAACACTGTGAGACTCTATCAAAATAAAATTTACCCATAATGGAATTACACTCTACCACAGTGCCCAAGTTTTGTCAAATACGTGAAAAAAGCACTCCCTTTTTCAAACAGCGCGCGGTGTGGTTGTGAACTTGAAAGTATTGATGGGTGTCAAGAGAAGGATCTCATCTTCAACCTTTAGGTAATTTTGAACAAGTATGTTGTTGTATGCTGTATAGAGATGAAGCAAAGAACATTTTCGGAATAGTCCTTGACAAGTTGCTTCACAAGAGTTCGTCAGTTTCATCACACAGAAATTTCAAATTACTTAGACCTTTAGCAATTCAAAGCTTCATGGATGAGAGTTTGTTCGTTCTAAATTATGTTACTTCTGAAATATTTCGCTTACCTGCATAATTTGCCTGGATATGCGTCAGTGGCCCAATGGAAGATTACTAGCTTATTAAGAAAGTGGTCCAGGTTAGATTTCTTGCTGATGCACTCCCGAGTCCCACCTAGTTTACTATGTGGCAATCGTCTGGGGAAAAGAGGAAGGGTGGTCATGAAGCTGATCACCTCACCCAGTAAAAACACTGTTACGCAATGTTCCATTCAGCAGGAAAATGAAGGAAACACACGTGCCCTCAGTGAGAATGTGATAGACTCTAATCCCGAGACGGCCGATGAGGTTACCTAACCTGATGATTGTAACAAAACTGTAAGATTTATCAACTATTCCATTATGAAATGCACAAAACTGATCACTGTAGAGACCTTCTGTCTAGATACTTCTTTATTCACTAACATCATATGTAAAACGAGGAGTGGTAATGTGCCTGCAGTTTAATGAATTACTTTCTCCGACAGTGTATTCAGAGTTGAGATCCTATTAATTGGTTCCTGCATCTAGTGAACAGACATGCTACAGATTTTATTATATAAGCGGTTATGACAAACAATTCAGCATTCATGATCCAAGCGTCAAAATCAATGTTTATCACAGATGACAGAAAGTGAGGCAGTTCTATATATCCTGGATTAAAATCTTTCTTTTTTTCTGACACCACATTTGTCATAAGTTAACCTTGGCTTCATACGCCGATGATATATGTCTGATTTCCCACAAACTGGAAGATATGCAGGCAAAAAGCAGCAAGTTGGCAGAAAAAAGCATCAAAGATTGGACTTTAGATGAACATAGAGAAAACAGAGGTGATGAAAATTCCTGGACAAGAACAAAAACAACAACAGACAACGATCAGCCAGCAAAAATGGGAGGAACCTGAAAGAAACAACCTCTTATACCTACCTACCTGGGAAGCATCGTTTCAACTACAGGCAGACAGAACTGACGAGGATATCAAAGCAAAAATCGATCGGAAAAGCAAGACAAGCTTTCACTACTCTCAAGTCTGTGTGGAGGTCAACAGTCAGCTCTCAGCATCAAAAATAAGATCCGGATTTTCAACTCCAATGTGAAGTCAGTCAGTGCTACTTAACATACGGATCAGACTTGCGCTGCGCGTCACAAAGAGCATCTCAAGCAAACTACAAACCTTCATCAACAGCCATTTGTCTTCGCTCAATACTGAAGATCAGATGGTTGGCCAGAAAAGATCAGCAACAGAGAGGGATCTCTGGGAGCGAACCAATACAGCAGGAACCAAGATTGTGAAACAAATAGACAGGAAGAAATAGAGATGGATTGGCTGGCCATACCCTGAGGAAACTATCAAGTGATATCACTAGACAAACCGCTGCTCGAGTGGAACCCGACATAATGGGAAGCGGCGAGTTGGTCGTCAGTGCAAGGGTGGGGTGACTTGGAGGAGGTCATGTGAAGAGGAGATGAAAAGGTGTGGGCAGACTTGGAGCCAGGTGAAGACTCTAGCAGAGAACCGAACTCAATGGAGACGCACGGCTGAAGCCCTATTTTCCTCTAGGAATTAAAGGAAACAATATTAATTATGATATAAATATCTTGCTTGTGAGGTTACTGAAAACGGGAATATTGGATGTAACGCTTACTACTTTTTTTTAATCTTTTACGTTCCCAGTGGAACATAGGGCTTCAGGCTAGGCATTTTAAGTTTCGGTAGCAGTGGTGTTTATTTGTACGCTATGGTGTTGCTGACCTCATGCCCAACTTTCCCTCTCTATCAGTTTTATTACTGGCTTAGCGAGATTAAGGAATGCGTCATTGGTCAGGGATCGAACCCTAGACCACCTGCATGTCTGGCAGTTTCGTCACAAAACTTTATCAGTTAGTGAATCACTGAAAATCCAGAAGAAATGGGCAGTTGTTTTGTCATTATTTTGGGAATCTTTAGTAGTTCGTAACAACTACTTAACCAGTCATAGAACTTCATGTTTTAAAGGCAATGGATTAGGCATTCAGTCACTCCTTTTTTAATCAACCATTTAAATTCCAAAACGTTTCAGTCACTCAACAGAATCACCTCCTCAAACCATGGTTATATGTGAAGAAAAGGTTCGTTCAGTAGGCAGGTTTTATCCTGCTCTGACGTTCCACTTTAAATGTAAGATTCGGCTTTTAGTCAACTGTATCTTATGTGTTTTTCTGTGAACTGCATATTTTTTTTAATGAATATTTATCCGAATTACGGAACTCTGAGCAGCTAGGCATTAACTATGTGAAGCGTACGAAACCAGTTCCCGCATTGTCATCTTATTACATAAGTTGCTTTTACTGAACAATAGATAGTACCTTTACTCACATACATGGAAAGCATTTCTTGGTCAGCATACAAATACTGAAACTCCCTTTCAACATTTATTTATTGATGAAGACGGCTGAACAGTCTGTGATTGTAAGCCATGGAAAAACTAAGGAGCATTAAACAGTAGATGGAGAACAGTTAGACCACCGAATGAATGACTTCGAGAACTTTCAGGTTACGAGGCTAGCCTAGTGGTTACGGGAACTCTGAATTAGAATTCAACAATACTTAAATTCTACTCTGTGTCAATTCAAGATATAAATTAATTGTTTATGCAGAAATTCCCTGCTTACGTTGATCTGTCACTTCTCTACCAACTTGAAATGCACGTAAGGTAAGCAGGAGTTATATGAATTGCTTTTCTTTTCACAAATACATTGATGTAAAAACAAAAAATGAAAAAAACATCTGATGAGTGTTCATTTTTTTGTTGTTAATTGTTCAGACGAAAACATCATGTGTTTCAGTGATGTTTTCTCTTAGTTGAAGCATATGAAAATTCATCTCATGACAAACTCTTGTTGGTTTATTTTTCATGATTGTTTACAATTCACATCAAATTAATTTGCATGTAAGACCAGGAGAGCGTATATATATATACAGAGGTGAAATTGCAAATGTAGTAATCAAAATACAAAATGAAACTGCTATTCTTGATGAGCTTGGTGGTGCTTCTTTGTGAGTTGACGCTCTACTTAGGGTTTTATTTCAATTTATTACAAATGAAATTGAACATATTTTTGTGCGAATTGCCACCCAACATAAATTTAGTAGACTAAATCAACGTATTCATTATGCATTCCACATTTCAGGCATCGCCAATTTACCAACATCAGAGGCTGGTGCTTGGTTCCTTAATTTATGTAAGTTTCCAATTGAATATAAAATTGCTGTATTATTTGTGTTAATTGCTTGTAATAAAGGATATTAAATTCAAATATGCTAATCAACTGCTTAGAAATTGCACATCGAAGTTTGTACTGCTACTGTCGCTTTCCACCACTTTTCTGCCTAACAAGTTTGCAGATAATCACCAGTTATTTGCCGAATTGTTTGTGAAGAGTCATTTGCAGGTATGACGTTAAAAAATGTATACCCAGTGTAAGACATCCCACCTCGAATGCGTCACTAGACACGGATGCAGTGCTTTGGGAACACTTTCGAGAATTTGCTAATTTCACCTATAGGTATACTGTTACTCCAATCTATAGAAAATGAGATCACACTTTTGTAGGAGTTCCTTTCCACACAAAAATGATCTGAATGAGAACTTTACTGATAATTAATCCTGTGTGAGGGTAATAAACAACACCTGTACGGTTAACAGTCTTCACTTCAAAAACAGCGAAAACATTCTCTGAAATCACTTAGAGAACCACTGGAAAATCTGGGAGTACTGAACATTTGTTTCCTCATAGTTTGGGACTCTTCAGCAGTACGCACCCAACACAGGTTCGTTCGAACCAAGGAGCTTCTGGTTACAAGGCGAGCTCATAGACCATTGGGCTACTGGGAACCGATCCAATGATCACCCCATGAATTCCAACATCTGCAAACTCATGCACAACATAGCCCGACCACTTCGCAGTGTCCTTTTCGATGAGGGACTGCTTCATCTTCAACCTGCTGTACCCAATGGTTACGGCTTCGCACTACAACCCCAGGTCACTGCCTGAATAGGGCCAGTCGCTAGTGAGCATCGGATTGATCTTCAAGTATTGGTTTTGTGGGGATTCAGCTTGAAAACCAATACTCTCAGGTTTTCTAGTGGTTTTCTAAGCGATATCAGCTCATGATGAAATCCTCCATACAATCAAACAAAATCCCTACAAAACCAATACTTGAAAATATCTTCTTAAAGTTTTAACGTACTCCTTAAGGACAAAGTATGGTGCAATCAAAATAGGCTTCCTTGAAACATTCACTTCGAATGAAACTGTAAACTTAAGGTTGGAAAGAACACAAATTTTTTCGAAGCTTTGTAACGTGAAATATGCTTAATTATTATAAATAGCTCTGTAATTACAAAAAAATTCATATGGACCAAAATTTTTCTGGTAGAAACGCCATCGATGAAAATTAGTCAAAATGCACACTAGACATGTTGAATTAAATATAACAGTTTTGTAAACTACATATCAAAATGACCTTTTTCTTAACTTTTAGTTCGATGGGGCAAGTAAGTTGTGTATTGAATGTGAACACATGTAATGCAGATGACTGAGAGTGGAAGGTATATATTATTCTCATAACAAAACAGATTTTATTCATAGATTTGTCTTTAAACATCAAGAAACCTTTTCCATATTTCTGGGTAGAAATGTCAACTGAAACGTACTATACACTCATGCCACCTTAATAAACCAGCAAAACAATCGAAATGGGAAAAAATTTTAAGTCGTCAATCATTAATGCAATTATAACACTACGGATAAACTGCATTATTCTGTACAGGAAGTTTCAAAAATAAGGATATTCAATACTTTGTTTAGTGCAATCAGGAAATATCCCTTACATTAGGGAATACGAACTGCTGAACCTTTATCTGAGGTTCTATTTCTCCCTGTGAAATTTTCATAATGTCACCAAGTTTCAATTTTCTTCACATCGTATGAACCTACTTTAAAATAAACTTGAAATTGACAAGCATAGCATGCAACATTTGAAGCAATTAGTTACCTTTATGAATTTCGATAAACAAAATAAGAAGATGTAGTTTATCTGAAACGTGTAATGTATTTACACAACACAATTCGAATATTCCAATCTCACACGTATTTGTCATACGCAGTTTTATAGAAGGCAAGATGGCATGCATTATCACAATGCAGGTCAGATTGTGTACGGCTTAAGGTCACAAATAATGTAACACTGTTAGCGAAAGCATTCTGTGATAATTTATTTATTTTACCTATTTAATTTCCTATTTCATTAACCAAATGTCTATGTCCTCAGGAAATCTGATGAAAAAACTGCAGTAAAAACAGGTAAGCCTGCAATATACTAAGCATTCTCATGAGAAATGTTTGAAAAAATATGCCATGAATGTCGCTCCGACACAAATCACATTGAAATTTGCTACAACTCATACAGATGACTTCAGGTGAAGGTTAACCAAATGTAAACTTTATAATGCTAAAGATACACAAATAAGTAAATAAAAAACGTCTGAGTTGCTTTAATATAGACACCTAACTCTACTGTATGAAATCTGGTAATAATAACACTTTCACAATAACGCCGGCAAGAAAACAAACTGCTTCATTTTAATAAACTTTTCATAATCGGTGTGATCGAACTCTTCATACGAAAAGAGACACATGCGATTTTCAACATGTGTTCAGTCACAAAACCATATCACATAAGAAATCATTGAGAACCAGGGAGTGTTAAATATCTGTTTCGTTTCACTCTGTGGCACTGCATAAACACGCATTCATGGCTTAAACACTTATGTAGCACACCACTTTTAGTTACAAATGCAAGCCTTCCCAAGTTGAAATTCGATAACACATGAACTAAATAAAAGAAACATCAGTGGAGAAAATTTCCTTCATGGAAGAAAACAACTTAAAAGTCTGTAATGTTATATTTACATTTACTGTAAATGAAGAGTAGTACATTACTGAGTAAAAGACGGTGCCATGAATGATATATAATTACTAAGAAGTGGCTTTCATAATAATAATTGAAGTTGTAAAGTACTTAGCACTCAACCACACGAAGGAATAAACTTATAGAAATTTGATAAGGTTGAAATTGTTATTGAGTGAAAGTAAAGTAGCTGAGTGTCAAATTGACAAGTGTAAAGAGGATGAGTGATAATACTGAATTAATTGTTAAAAGCAAACTGCAGTATAATTAAAATTTCAAACATAATGGTTTTTTTACAGGGAACGACTAGTGAAGAGGTTAAGACCATGGTAGAATAAGACATTGGACAAACGTGTTCTGTATACAGCATTCGGCGTTTTACTGGCGAATGGCCAACGCTTCCACCATTCACAATTTGCAAAACCTGTCGCTCTTTGCACCATTTGACTTCAATTTCAATATAATTATGAATGACGACAATGGTGGACCTTCTCGACTTGAGTTCACCTACTGCTCGAGAAGGGAACTAGTATCTGTCTTGCATTGTCCTTTTGCTAACAATGACGGACAGTGTTCTGAGATCCGTTTGAAAATTGTACACCAAGTTGTGCACCCATAAAGCTAGGTCTAAGCGAGCATGTGCGTTTATTAAGACACACCGAAATGGCCTAAAAGAGGAGTTTATCCTTCACACATCCACTGATCATTTGTCCGCTGTAAAATTTGATCCATAATTGATCAGCCACGAAGAAGTCCCTTCTCAGTGATCTTCATTAACGGGTCTTGAAAAAATATCAGCTGCAGTACCACTTTTGAATTCAACACTCATAAATAGCAATTTTTTCGGCAGCGTCTGCGTTCTTTCAGGCTTCTCCATTAACTTCATGTATTTCATGATGAATCCACGAGAATATCCATTTTCCATAGAGACTTGTCTGAATCACTTGGCGAGTATTCTTTCTCACTACTCACCGGTTGAAGCCCACTGACCACGATTTGTCACTAGAACTTCAGTTAAATTCATCCTGTATAAAGTCACTTGAGAGATCTGTCAATACAAACATGATTCACATTAACTGAACTTGCTCAGAAAGACACAACATTCATACAACTTACAGTAAAGTCAAGTGAGAGAAAATGTCATTTTAAATTAAAAAGACACAAATGGAATTAAACAATGCATATGTGTAAAGAATCTTCTTCACTTTCAGAAGGAGAGGGGTAAGTGACTGTTTCATTGTCAACGTATAGAATGTAAACGTCTTAATATCTAATATTCATAGGTAACCTTTTAACTTCCGTTACCATATGATTGCTACGATTTCATGTAGAACCAATGCAGTTATTAGGATTGAACACTTTCATTTCCTCACTTTTATATTCTCACATAAAACCTTTATAATAAAACTGGGAAGCCGTGATCAGTAGGTTGCAGCAGGTTGAAGGTGAGTCGGTAACTCATCGGAGAAGGCATTAAGAAGTTGTTGCACCAGTGGCTAAATGTTCAACGAGATCACCAGCCTTGTGACCAAAGTGCCTTTGGTATGAGCCAGCTTGTGGTCGTGCGAACTGATGAAGAAGGCTAAGGTAAAAGAAAAAAGCTGTTCAGTACTCCTAGCTGGTTTTACAATGGTTCGTCAAGCGATATCAGCTCATGATGAAGCCCTACAAACAATCAAATGTGAGAGAGAAGTTTGAAAATCATCATGACCAAGGAGGTATTTGTTTATTCTTGAATTCCTTATGATTATTATCTAATTATCACCGATGATTTACTCAATATGCTTGGCTGACTGTCTCATACATCAAATGACTATTTTATGTAGGCCAACGAAGGAAATGACCACAGAAACTTCAGGTGCGAATACAATATACTTTTATATATATGTATATATACAACATTCATTTCCATGATGTCTACTTAAAATTGTGGCTTAAATCTCACTATTACCAATGCTTGAAGACATCTTAACCATCTACTGAAAGAATATTTTATAGGAGCTTATTTCAATCTTTGAATTCCAAGGAAAATTGAGATGTACCCAATATTGTTTTGCGTGAATTCGCTCAGTAATCTGCAATTTTTGACAGCATCATGTTCATAGCAGGTTAATAACTACCAAACACTCGTAGAAGCTAACTGTTTCAGAGTCATTTCACTTTTTTTCAAGAACAGTCTCTGTCACTGATGACAACATTTACAACAAAATGAAATTCAACTCTGATGGTCAACGTAGATTTCTTCTTGAGTAGATATAAATAAGAATGTCAATGTAGATTGAATAAAACTATGTTATGTTCGGTTCTTCATTAGGCTTTACTAGGAAATTACCCAACTCCTTATTACAAAAAATATTATCTGACATTTGTTGATGGAACGCTGCTTAGCACTGAATTCCCTTCATATCAAATAGTCGTCATTTATTTCATTTGCTTCGAAATCGAAATATTCAGCTACAGTTTTAAAGTGTAAAACGTGGTACCATTTTCGAAATATTAAATTTCCCATATAGTTTGTCTCAGAGTTATTTTACATTCTGAGGTAAACTGTGTCTCAGTACAAACGGGCTTAAAAATATATATATTTCACGTTGAGATTATCCCGTTGATTGATTGGAAAGAAGTGGTCGGCAGCAGATTGTCATGTCGGCTTCTTGAGAAGATGCTTCGACGATATATGAGCATTTAATGAGAGGCTAATTCGTGGATGGTGACCAGCAGTGGAATCCATGATGCTCACTTCGTCCTATTTGTGACTCGTCAGCACTTCGGTCCAATCAACTGACAGGAAATCTGAAATCAAATTAATTAATCAATATGGCTCTTCGCTCGGTGAGTAATCTTACTCACTGCTGATCGCATGAAGCCCACTGACCACGTATTTTTCACTAGAACTTCAGTTAAATTCATCCTGTATAAAGTCACTTGAGAGATCTGTCAATACAAACATGATTCACATTAACTGAACTTGCTCAGAAAGACACAACATTCACACAAATACAATGAAGTCAAGTGAGGGAAAATGTTATTTCAAATAGAAATGATATAAATGGAATTAAACAATGCATATATGTAAATTACAAGTTATACAAATCTACTTCACTTTCAGATGGAATGGAGTAAGTGACTTAGAATGTAAATGACTTCGTATCTAAAATTCATTATCATCATATGAGATGAATTTCTTCAACTGAATAGTCTTCAAAGGTCCGTTGCCATATGACTGCCATGATTTCATGTAGAATCAATGCAGTTATTAAGATTGAACACTTTCAGTTACTCACTTTTGTATTCACACATAAATGTAATAACAATATCGGGAAGCCGTGATCAGTAGGGTGCATCAGTTTGAGCCGGTAACTCATCGAAGAATACATTCTGTAGTTGTTGTACCAGTGACTAAATGATCTACGAGATCGCCAGCCTTGTGACCAGAAGGTCCTAGGTTTGAGCCAACTTGTGGTCATGCGAACTGATGAAGTAGGCGAAAGTATTAGAAAACAGCTACTCAGTAATCCTAGTTGGTTTCGAATGGTTCTTCAACCTATATCAACTCATGATGAAGCCCTCCAAACAATCAAAAATGAGAAACTGGACTATCGTTTATAGAAAAATTCGAGAGATGAGATTACAACTGATTTGTCTCAGTTTGAAAATATCTCTGACATCATGGAATTTAGTCACCTGAATAATGTCAACATGAAGATTGTTTCTCAGATATCTCAAAGTTGAAAATCATAATGACCAAAGAGGTGTTTGTTTATTTTTGCTTTCCATATGATTATTATCCAATTATCGTCGATGGTTTACTTAACATGCTTGATTGACTGTCTCATTCTATCAAATGACTATTTTATGTAGGTCAACGAAGGAAACGTCTCCAGAAACCCCAGGTGCGTATAAAATATACTTTTTTATATGTGTATATATATCATTCAATGCCATGATATTTACCTAAAATCATGGCATAAATCTCCCTACTATCAACCTTGCAAGACATTTTATTCACCCACTGAAAGAGTATTTTGCAGGAGCTTATTTTATTCTTCGAATTCCCTGGAAAATTGAGATGTACCCAATATTGTTTTGCGTGAATTCGCTCAGTAACCTAAAATTTTCACCGAATCATGTTCATAGCAGTTCAATAGCTACCAAACACTCGAAAAAGAAAGCTGTTTCAGAGTTATTTCACTTTTTTCATAATCAGTCTGTGTTACTGATGACAACGTTCACAAAATAACGAAATTCAACTCTTATGGTCAATGTGGATTTTTTCTTGAGTAGATATAATTAAGAATGCCAATGAAGATGGAATACAACTATATTATGTTAGGTTCTTCATTAGTCTTCAATAGGCAGTTTCATAACTCTTCATAACACATAATATCATTTCACATTTGTTGATGGAAAAAAACTCAGCGCTGAATTCCCTTTACATCGAATATTCGTCATTTATTTCATTTCCTTCGAAATCAAAATATTCAGCTACTATTTGAAGTGTAAAACATGGATGCATTTTCAAAGTATATTAAATTTCACATAAAGCTTGTCTCAGAGTTATTTTACGTTCTGAGGTAAATTGTATCTCAGTAACAACAGTCTTAAAAATATTTATTTCAATTTTATATTATCCTGTCGAATGGATGGATCGAAGTGCTCGGTTTCAGACTGACATGTCGGCTTCATGAGCAGATGCTTCGACGATGTCTAGGCATTTAATCAGAAGTTAATTCGTGGATGGTGACCAGCAGTGGAATCCACGATGCGCATTTCGTCCTATTTGTGACTCGTACTTACTTCGGTTCAATCAATTGACGGGGAAGTCTAAAATTGAATTAATTAATGAATATGGCTCTTTGCACAAGAGGTGGCCCCAAATGGCCATGATAATAATTACACTTCCACAGTTAGGCCGGCAAGAACAAAAGCTGTGACATTTATAATCAGTGTGACCAAACTCTTCATACGATAAGAAACACATGCGATTTTCGACATGTATTCAGTCACAAAACGATATCAGATAAGAAATCATTGGGAACCATGGTGTGCTAGACATATATTTCATCTCACTTTGTGACACTGCATAAACACGCATTCATGGCTTAAACACTTATGTAGCACACCACTTTTAGTGACAAAAATGAGCCTTCTCAAGTTGAAATTGGATAACAGATGAACTAAATAAAAGAAACATGCGTGGAGAAAATTTCCTTCATGGAATAAATCAACTTAGGAGTCTGTAAAGTCGTATTTACATTTACTATGAATGAAGAGTAGTACATTACTGAGTAATAGACGATGCCATAAATGACACATAACTAATTAGAATTGGCTTTCGAAATATTAATTGAAGTTGTAAATTACTTAGTACTCAACGGCACGAAGGAATAAACTTTGAGAAATTTGATAAGGCTGAAGTTGTTATTGAGTGGGAATAAATGTAGTTGAGTGTCAAATTGACAAGTGTAAAGACGGTGAGTGATAATAGTGAATTAATCACCAAAGGCAAACTAAAGTATGATTAAAATTTCAAAAATAAATAAAAGTTTTCTACAGGGAACAACTAATTAATGAGGTTGAAACCATGGTAGAATAAGAGACTGGACAAACGTTTTCTGTATACAGCATTCAGGGTTGCACTGACGAATCGTTAACGCCTCCAACACACACAAATGGCGAAACCTGTCGCTCTGTGTGCCATTTGATTCCACTTTGTAGATAATCCTGAATAACGACAATATCGGAGCTTCTTGGCTTGAGTTCACCAACTGCTCGAGAAGTGAACTAGTATCTTTCTTGCATTGTCCTTTTGCTAATCATGACGGACATTGTTCAGAAATGCGTTTGTAAAGTGTACACCAAGTTGTGCGGCCAATAAAGCTGGCTCCACGCGAGCATGTGAATCTATAAACACACGCTGAAGTGGTTCAAAGTGGCAGCCTGTCAATCACAAATCCATTGAAGATTTGTTGGCTATAAAATTTGACCCATAATTGATCAGCTGCGAAGAAGGCTTTACTCAGTGATCTGCTTATGTGGCTCTTCAGGATATCAGTGGCAGTATTACTTTTGAATTCAACGCTCATCAAGAGCCATTTCTTCGCCACCGTTTGCGTTCTTACGCGCTTTTGCTTTAACTTCATGTTTTTCTCGATGAATCTTCGAGAATATCCATTTTCCATGGGGACTTGTCTGAGTCGCTCGGTGAGTATTCTTTCTCACTGCTGACCAGTTGAAGCCCACTGGCCACGATTTGTCACTAGAACTTCAGGTAAATTCGTCCTGTATAAAGTCACTAGACAGATATGTCAATGCAAGCATGATTCAAATTAACTGAAATTGCTCAGAAATACACAACATTCATACAACTTACAATGAAGTCAAGTAAGAGAAAGTATCATTTCAAATAGAAATAACACAAATAGAATTAAACAATGCATAAGTGTAAATTACAAGTTAAAAGAATTTACTTCACTTTCAGATGAAAAAGAGTAAGTGACTTTTTCACTGTCAACGTATGGAATGTACATGACTTAGTATCTTATATGCATTGATAGTCTTTTAACTTCCGTGACCATGTGACTGCCATGATTTCACGTAGAACCAATGCATTTATTAGGATAGAACACCATCGGTTAATCACTTTTGTATTCACACATGAAAACTCATAATAAAACTGGGAAGCCGTGACCAGTAGGGTGTACCAAGTTGAAGGTGAGTCGGCAACTCATCGGAGAAGGCATTGCAAAGTTGTTGAAGCAGTGGCTAAATGGTCTACGAGATAACCAGCCTTGTGGCCAGAAGGCCCTCGTTTCGAGCCACCTCGTGGTCATGCGAACTGATGAAGAGTCCCATAGAATGAGGAAACAGCCATTCAGTACTCCTAACTGGTTTTTCAATGGTTCCCTAACCGATATCAGCTCATGATGAAGATCTCCAAACCATCAAAACTGAGAGACTGGACTAGTTTTTATAGAAAGTTTCGAGATATGTGATAACAATTGATTTGTCTCACCTTTTCCAAAATATCTCTGACAATTTACAAATTGATCCCTTGAATAATGTCAACATGAAGATTGTTTCTCAGATGTCTCAAGGTTGAAAATCATCACGACTAAAGAGGTATTTGTTTATTCCTGTTTTCTTTATGATTTTTATATAATTATCACCGATGATTTACTAAATATGCTTGATTGACTGTCTCGTATGTAGGAAACCAAAGGAAACGAATTCAGCAACCACAGGTGCGTATACAATATATATATATATATATAGATATCATTCATTTCCATGATACCTACTTAAAATTAGGGCTTAGATCTCGCTACTACCAATGCTACAACACATTTTTACCATCTACTGAAAAAATATTTTATAGTAGCTTATTTCATTCTTCGAATTCCGAGGAAAATGGAAATCTACCCAGAAGTGTTTTGCATGAATTTGTTCAGTAATCTACAATTTTTGACCGAATCATGTTGATAGCAGTTCAATAACTACCATACGCGAAAGAGCAATTTGTTTCAGAGTTATTTCACTTTCTTTCATAAACAGTCTGGGTCACTGATGACAACATTTACAACAAAATGAAATTCAACTCTGATGGTCAATGTGGATTTCTTCTAGAGTAGATATAAATAAGAATGCCAATGTAGATTGAATACAACTATGTTATGTTCGGTTCTTCATTAGGCTTTACTTGGTAGGCAATTACCCAACTCGTCATTACAAATAATATCATTTGACATTTGTCGATGGAACGCTGCTTAGCACTGAATTCCCTTCACATCAAATAGTCGTCATTTATTTCATTTGCTTCCAAATCAAAATATTCAGCTACAGTTTGAAGTGTTAAACGTGGTAGCATTTTCAAAATATTAAATTTCCCATACAGTTTGTCTCAGAGTTATTTTACATTCTGAGGTTAACTGTGTCTGAGTAACAACAGTCTTGAAAACATTTGTTTCAATGTGAGATTATCCCGTCAATTGATTGGACCGAAGTGCTCGGCCACAGATTGACATGTCGGCTTATTGAGCAGATGTTTCGAAAACATCTGGGCAATTAATAAGAAGTGTATTCAAGGAAGGTGACCACAATTGGAATCTATGATTCGCATTTCGTCCTACTTGTGATTCGTCAGCACATCGGTCCAATCAACTGACGGGAAAATCTAAAATTGAGTTAATTATTTTATATGGCTCCTTGCAAAAGGGGTGGCTCCCATGACAACGTTAATAATAACGCATTCACAATTACGCCAGCAGGAAAAGAAACTGTATCAATTTGTTAAACTCTTTATAATCAGTGTGATCGAAATCTTCATAGGATTAGAAACATATGCCATTTTCGAAATGTATTCAGTCACAAAACGATATCAGAGAAGAAATCATTGAGAACCATAGTGTGCTAGACATCGGTTTCATTTCACTCTAAGACACAGCATAAACACGCATTCACAGATTTAACACTTATGTAGCACATCCATATTAGTTACAAATATTAGCCTTCCCAAATTGAAATTTGATAAGAGATGAACTAAATGAAAGAAACATCAGTGAAGAAAATTTTCTTCATTGAAGAAATCAACCTAAGAGTCTGTAAAGTCGTATTTATATTTGCTGTAAATGAAGAGTAGTACATTACTGAGTAATAGACGGTGCCATGAATGATATATAATTACTAGAAAGTGTCTTTTGAAATACCAACTGAAGTTGTAAATTACTTAGTACTCAACCACACGAAGGAATAAACTTTTTGAAATTTCATAAGATTTAAGTTATTATTGAGTGAAAATAAAGGTAGTTGATTGTCAAATTGACAAGTGTAAAGAGGATGAATGATAATAGTGAATTAATTGTTAAAGGCAAACTGAAGTATAATTAAAATTTCAAACATAGTGGTTTTTTTACAGGGAACGACTAGTGAAGAGGTTAAGACCATGCTCGAATAAGACACTGGGTAAACTTCTTCTGTATGCAGCATTCGGCGTTTTACTGACGAATGGCCAACGCCTACACCATTCACAATTTGCAAAACCTTTCGCTCCTTGCACCACTTGACTTCACTTTGTATATAATCCTCAATAACGACAATGGTGGACCGTCACTACTTGAGTTCACCTACTGCTCGAGAAGGGAACTAGTATCTGTCTTGCATTGTCCTTTTGCTAACAATGACGGACAGTGTTCTGAGATCCGTTTGAAAAGTGTACACCAAGTTGTGCACCCATAAAGCTAGGTCTAAGCGAGCATGTGCGTTTATTAAGACACACCGAAATGGCCTAAAAGAGGAGTTTATCCTTCACACATCCACTGATCATTTGTCCGCTGTAAAATTTGATCCATAATTGATCAGCCACGAAGAAGTCCCTTCTCAGTGATCTGTATAAGCGGCTATTCGGGATATCAGCCGCAGTATCACTTGTGAATTCAACGCTCATAAATAGCAATTTCTTTGGCACCGTCTGCATTCTTTCAGCCTCCTGCTTTAAATTCATGTTTTTCTCGATGAATATTCAAGCATGTCCATTTTACATGATGACTTGTCTGAGTCGCTTGGCGAGTATTCTCACTCACTGTGGACTGGTGTGTGCGCACTGACCTCGATTTATCACTAGAACTTCAGTTAAATTTATTCTGTCCTGTAAGTCTCTAGACAGATCTGTCAATACAAACATGATTCAAATTAACTGAAATTGCTCAGAAATACACAACATTCATACAACTTACAATGAAGTCAAGTAAGAGAAAGTATCATTTCAAATAGAAATGACACAAATGGAATTAAACAAGCATATGTTTAAATTACAAGTTTAAAGAATCTACTTCACTTTCAGATGCAAAGGAGTAAGTGACTTTTTCACTCTCAACCTATTGAATGTAAATGACTAAGCATCTAAAATCCATGAACATCATGTGAGATAGAATACTTCAACTGAGGAGTTTGTAAACGTCTCTTACCATTTGACTGCCAAGATTTCATGTAGAACTAAGGCAGTCTTTATGATTGAACAATTTCAGTTACTCACTTTTGTATTCATACATGAAACCTGAAAGTAAATCTGGGACGGCGTGACTAGTAGGGTGCAGCAGGCTGAAAGTGAAGCGGGAACCATGAAAACCTAAGTCATATAAACACTATCACTGCTTGTAAGGCAATTCACGTCTTCTTGTGCAACTATCATGTCATACCAGCACACTTGACAGCCACCTCGTTTGAAATGATACACAAACAGTATTTAAGTTCAATATCTGGGGCTTTCGTGTGATCGAAATTTATGAGTGATAACGTAGTTTATGTACTAGCATTACTATCTCTTGCATTAAATAAATGTTTTCTCTAATACTTCCTCAAGGAAAAATGAAGAAAAGAAAGGTTCGTATCATTTTCATCTTCACTAGTTTAACTAATTCTCATCAGTGTTTAAACTGTAATAACGACAAACTGCTTTCAAGAGTTGTTTTGTATGGACTAGATTTGTTTTTACTATTTTGACCATGGTTTGATATCAGATAGAGAAGCAGTGAAAAGCAGGATGTACTAGACAGCTGTCTTGTTCTAGTCTGGGAATCATCGGCAGTACGCAGTCAGGACCATTCAGCCACTGGGATCCGACTCAATGACTCATTATTGCTAACTTCTACCATTTCCTGATTTAGCATGACCACCAACCAGTGTCATTGGCGGGACATCCATCCTTACCTTTGACTGGATGGACATCACTGGTGGTCCCGCTAAATCACTTATTGGTAGAAGTTAGAATTCATGGGCCATTTAATCGAGTACCAGTGGCTGAATGCTATACGAGCTTGCCTTGTAACTGAGAGGTCCTGAGTGCGTACTGCTGAAGATTCCCAAAACTAGGATGAGACAGCTGTCCAGTAATTCCTGGTTTTCAATAGTTCTCTTAATGATATCAAACCGTTATCAAACTCACAAAACAGATTGTTTATTATGAATATTTCATCGAATTTTAGAATGTGACATTGTGATTTGGTCATCTTTCAATTTTGTAAGACATTCTAGTGCAATATGAGTGCAAATTATCAAATGTACAATGTCAGTCATCGAATTTAATTGTTTGGAATCATATTGCACACAATTACACACCAAATTATCACACAAAACTCTGTAAATGCAAAATGTAATCATGTCTTGGAAAATGCGACGAAAGCGGGAATTTTATGTTGCCTGTTTTAAGCACTTTCCAACCAAGTTCTAAAACAAGAGGGAAATTCGCTCTCCACTCCATGTTTTCTCCCCACTTTACCCATTTGTATTTTTCGCTTGAGGATTCATACAGGTCGAAGTTACACCAGAAGGAAACACCACCGTTTGAACAAGCTGGAAAGCTGATTGAGAGTGCAAATAAAGTTTTTAAAAAAACACAAAATAAATAAGACAATTTAAACACAATAAGCTGTTTAATTACATAGTGAAATAAAATTTGCTAATTTTTCTAGAGGAAATCACAAAGTAAGTGATGTTTTCATTAATAACCCGCAATAAGTTACACCACCTTGAGGGTAACATTCATAATCTTGATATGAGATGGATTTTTCAGTGATGTAGAGTTATTAAAAACATTATTTCTAGTAGAGTTATGCTGGATAGGTGTCCTGTAATCTTTCGAACATCATTCGTTCAAGTGGTAATACGAAAATTATAGCAGATGAATGTGTTACTAACAACAGCGTTCTTCTGGAAAATACTTTCATAAAGATTGATAAATCTTCAGCATGTTCTACCCAAACGTATTTATAACTAGCATAGAACCTTTTACGTATTGAAAATCATCAATATGTCCGTCTATAACTGTATTTTTCTATCCAAAGCTCTCTTTAAAAATTTTCAACGCTAATCTTCTATTCACTGTGAAACTTAACTGAATATGAGAGTGATTACAAACTTATACTAAATAAGGTAATTGGATAATCAAAACAAATTGAAATAAACTAAATAACAAGCATTACGATGGATACAAATTTTGGTAACACAGTTATTTAGGTAGACAAATGTACAAGTTACAGGGTTTCATCATAAGCTAACACCGGTTACAGAACCAATAAAGAAACCTGCAAGGAGTACTGAAAAGCTGTCTCCAGCAGTATGTACTCACCAGGATTCCAATCCAAGACCTTCCAGTTACAAAGTTAGCGAGCTCTTAGACCATTAAGCCACTGAGACCCGATCCAATAGCCAGCCCATGACTTTCAACTTCTGCCAATTCACGACACAGCGCTACCTCTATTCAATGTCTTTGGCGATTATTTGTCCTCGCACCTGACCTGTTGCACCCTACTAGTCACGACTTTCCATTGATGAAGAGTCCCATACTAGGATGAAACTGTGTTTTAATCACTCATGAGACTGACATGCAAATATTAATGACAGACTGGGTTTCATTACTGTTTAAAAATATTCCCATTATTAATATCAGAATAAGACATATTACCGAAAGACACTGCTGTTTTCAATTAGATCTTCTTCAGGATTCACTCCAATTTAAATAAATTGATATATAGAAAATTTAACCATTGAGAGTGAGATTGTGGATGAAATAAAAATAATAATGTGGCAAATATTCTGAACCTCAGTAATAACGATAACTACAATGATAAATTATCTATCGTATTCCACTGAACCTTTCAAACGGATTTTCAACTCAGCCGAAGCTATGGGAATTCGAGAGAACAATCCTGATGTCTTCACACACAGAAGAAGTCTGTCTCTCCCTTGACCTAGATGAATTCTAATAAAAACATTCCCACTCTTACTTATTTTCCATTTCCTTCGTACTTTTATGATATTTATTTAAACTCTGATTATCTGTCCACTTCACTTTTAGTATTACGTAACCTTTAGGATTCGACCTAATATATTTAATAAATTGTCTACATATACACATATTACTACCTTCGTTAGACTTATCGCCACCTGCATGCACCTTATCATCAATATTTTGTAATCATTACAACCATCGTTATTACTGACGTTCAAAACATCTACCACATTATTATTATTATCATTATTGTTTGATCCACAAAATTACCGTCATCGGTTAAAATTTTTACATATGTAAATCTATGTATTTTAGGGTAAAGCCTGAAGAAGATCTAATTAAAAACAACAAATGGTGTTCGCTTATATGAATTGTTGAAAGATATAACAACCACAATGTCCTGCTCAGGGCAAAAGTATTTCTTAAGAAATGGAATATAATGACACCTGAGTAATAATCAAATATTTCAGCTTGATGTGTGAAACATTCGTACAGTCAAAGAATTCCAAATGTATTAACTTCACACAACGATACTTCTAAATCACTGCCTTTGAAATAGCAAACAGAAAGTCTCTTTGATTCATATGAGATACTCTTTTATCAGTTAGATCATTCATTAATAATTCCCTGTATATGCTGTTTATCATACCTCATGAATTAAACAAATCCTTTCTCCAGGAATCCAGAAGAAGCACCTGTAAAGCCCCCAAGTGCGTACATAATATTTTGTTCATTATCTTGTTATATTGTAACGAGGACCAGGCACCAGATCGTTTATTGAGAAAATCAAGAGATATTTATATATTTTTATGTACATTATTATTCGTTATTACTAGCAGAGAAACAGCGTTTTCTGATTAGTTGTTTTCTTGCTGAAAGTTAATCTGTCATCTCTGTGTGGCTGTTTCTTTGATGGTCAGACCATATATATATGCCAATCGTATCCATCCACGCAAAGTCTTTGTTCTTAGTCATGAGAAAGATTCTCATTACTAAGATTTAGGACGTAAACATTGACGCAAATTGCTGTCTACCAATTTTGGCTGTCGGACAGCTCTCACCACAATATATTTATGAACAGGAGTTTAATGGACCCCTTACAGAAGTCGGAAGACTGCCAATATCTACGTCATTCTCAAGTATTGGGTTTTTTAAGGATTTTGTTTGACTGTCTAGATGATTTCATCATGAGCCGACATCAGTTAGAGAACCATTGGAAAACAGCTGTTCAGTAATCCCAAACAAACAATTCCATTGATGTATCCTCCCTTCCTACCCAGCATGATCTGCATCACCAGTTAGAAATTATTACTGATCACAGTTCAGAGGCATTCGCACATATTCAGGGGATTTATATTCACAGACGTGATCGATTCTGCACGAAAACAGCTGTTTGGACACTATTGAATTCTAGCACTTTCTGCAACTGATAAGATTTCGTATTGAAAACCAAAATGATCTGGAATTTCAACAGCATGCTCAAAGATAATATAGAACTTTGTTATGCAGTTGTGATTCATAGTAGCTGGAATTTATCAGTAGGAAATAGCATCTAAGGAATACGCTGAGAAGCTAAATTAGAGATGAAGTAGAGTTAATTGCATACTACACTGGTGCAAACAAGTTAAACATTTTTGTATTCATCACAAAATTAAATAAATTCCACTTAAATTTTAGAAAAACCAAGGTGAGTGGCGTTTGCATTAACATAATAATAGAGATAAAGACGTCTGATAGCAAGATGTTTATCAATGGTGAGATGAGGTAGATTTCGCCAATAGTGTAGTACTGAACCATCCAGGAAACTTCTCCAGAGTTTTTGTTCCATGTGTAAATCATTTTATACTGCCATACTTTCAAGTAGCAGCGTTGAAAATAATTCAAATGAAGCATTTTCAACAGTTTCTTTCTGATTCATTTGTCAGTACTACTTAAAAACTAATGCCCAAATGGAAAAATTTGTAGACAGAGACTACAAAAGAATGGGCACCTCGCTCATATGTACATGATAAGTGTTAACCGTTGGATTTTGATTTCCTCTCAAGAAAAATCAGTGGTGTCGCCAGATTCTAAATTTGTTGGCGTTACATGCCCATACACCAAATTTATCTTCTTGAAATTAGGCATACAGGAGGCATTTGTTTTTGCTGTCACTATAATTATTCATTGGTGTGCAGTGATGGTTTACTTATTATGCTCTGCTTACTATGTCATGTGTTAAATAAAATTTTCTATAGCCCTCCTAAAAAAACACCACCAACAACTGGAGGTAGGTTGAAAAAAGATCATTCATTTGTACGATACCTATTTACAATTGTAACTTAAATTTTGCCATTATAATTCCCTCACGCTGCCTTACCACCTACTGAAATCATTATGCAGGAGCTCATTTCATTTGCTGATTTCCTACCGGAATGGGAACGAACGAAAAAACCGAAATATGCTTTACTTGAACCTGCGTATTATCGGAGTTGAGAAGACAAACTGTCTCAAAGTTATTTTACATTTTAACAAACTACCAGGTGCAAGTGACCACAGTATTCGTAAAAAAGATGAGACAGGAATTGAATTCTCAGTGCATATCGCGTCACGCACCAACGACAGTTAAGAAGTCATTGAGAACAAAAGAGCGTTAGACCTATGCTTAACCTTTATTCATGACTTTTCATGTGTACTTATTGGTGTTCTCAACAGAGACTGAGTGCACGACTTTTTCCTAAGAGCTATCCATGTGTCACTGGAATTCAGTAAAATATGTATTCTAACTGGTATTTTTTAAATAAATAACTTGCCAGAATCTGTCTTCCTTTGAACAATCTGTCCAGATCAAACATTATCAACTTCAGTGGTTGCAAACACTTGCTGAAAGTTAATCTGTCATCTCTGTGTGGGTGTTTCTTTGAAGGCCAGACCATATATATAAACATATATATATATATATGCTCATTGTATCCGCCCACGCAAAGTGTTCGTTCTTATCTTTCTCATGACCAAGATTTAGGACGTAAACATTGACGTAAATTGCTGTCTACCAATATTGGCTAGCAGACAGCTCTCACCACAATATATCCATGAGCAGGACTTTAATGAACCCCTTATAGATGTCGGAAGACTGCCAGTATCTACGTCATTCTCAAGTATTGGATATTTTAAGGATTTTGTTTGACTGTCTAGATAATTTCATCATGAGCCGACATCAGTTAGAGAACCATTGGAAAACAGCTGTTCAGTACTCCCAGGTGGTTGTCCAATGATTCTCTAACTGATGCCAGCTCATGATGAAATCCTCCAACCAATCTGTGTGATTCATTTTGCCAGAGAATTTTAAATTTTTTTCACTTTTTGGGAGAAACTGTGCTTCACAACAATGTACATCTCCTTACCAGCAGACATCAAACAGGAAGTCATTTACAACAAGCTAAAGCTATACTACGTCTAATCTTGATTCATGACGTTCCGTAAGCAAAGCAGTAATAGTCTCACAACAGATTGATTTTTTTCTGACAAGACGGTCATGCAAGGTAGGAATCCAATAATACATAAATGTGACGTATATCTATTCACAATACAGACAAACAGACAATTTCATTGATGTACCCTCCCTTCCTACCTAGCATATAAGGAAAGCGCTGGGAAGCTAGAGGAGAGATGAAGTTGAGATAACTGCATACTACACTGGTGCAAACAAGTTAAACATTTTTGTATTCATCACAAAATTAAATAAATTCCACTTAAATTTTAGAAAAACCAAGGTGAGTGGCGTTTGCATTAACATAATAATAGAGATAAAGACGTCTGATAGCAAGATGTTTATCAATGGTGAGATGAGGTAGATTTCGCCAATAGTGTAGTACTGAACCATCCAGGAAACTTCTCCAGAGTTTTTGTTCCATGTGTAAATCATTTTATACTGCCATACTTTCAAGTAGCAGCGTTGAAAATAATTCAAATGAAGCATTTTCAACAGTTTCTTTCTGATTCATTTGTCAGTACTACTTAAAAACTAATGCCCAAATGGAAAAATTTGTAGACAGAGACTACAAAAGAATGGGCACCTCGCTCATATGTACATGATAAGTGTTAACCGTTGGATTTTGATTTCCTCTCAAGAAAAATCAGTGGTGTCGCCAGATTCTAAATTTGTTGGCGTTACATGCCCATACACCAAATTTATCTTCTTGAAATTAGGCATACAGGAGGCATTTGTTTTTGCTGTCACTATAATTATTCATTGGTGTGCAGTGATGGTTTACTTATTATGCTCTGCTTACTATGTCATGTGTTAAATAAAATTTTCTATAGCCCTCCTAAAAAAACACCACCAACAACTGGAGGTAGGTTGAAAAAAGATCATTCATTTGTACGATACCTATTTACAATTGTAACTTAAATTTTGCCATTATAATTCCCTCACGCTGCCTTACCACCTACTGAAATCATTATGCAGGAGCTCATTTCATTTGCTGATTTCCTACCGGAATGGGAACGAACGAAAAAACCGAAATATGCTTTACTTGAACCTGCGTATTATCGGAGTTGAGAAGACAAACTGTCTCAAAGTTATTTTACATTTTAACAAACTACCAGGTGCAAGTGACCACAGTATTCGTAAAAAAGATGAGACAGGAATTGAATTCTCAGTGCATATCGCGTCACGCACCAACGACAGTTAAGAAGTCATTGAGAACAAAAGAGCGTTAGACCTATGCTTAACCTTTATTCATGACTTTTCATGTGTACTTATTGGTGTTCTCAACAGAGACTGAGTGCACGACTTTTTCCTAAGAGCTATCCATGTGTCACTGGAATTCAGTAAAATATGTATTCTAACTGGTATTTTTTAAATAAATAACTTGCCAGAATCTGTCTTCCTTTGAACAATCTGTCCAGATCAAACATTATCAACTTCAGTGGTTGCAAACACTTGCTGAAAGTTAATCTGTCATCTCTGTGTGGGTGTTTCTTTGAAGGCCAGACCATATATATAAACATATATATATATATATATGCTCATTGTATCCGCCCACGCAAAGTGTTCATTCTTATCTTTCTCATGACCAAGATTTAGGACGTAAACATTGACGTAAATTGCTGTCTACCAATATTGGCTAGCAGACAGCTCTCACCACAATATATCCATGAGCAGGACTTTAATGAACCCCTTATAGATGTCGGAAGACTGCCAGTATCTACGTCATTCTCAAGTATTGGATATTTTAAGGATTTTGTTTGACTGTCTAGATAATTTCATCATGAGCCGACATCAGTTAGAGAACCATTGGAAAACAGCTGTTCAGTACTCCCAGGTGGTTGTCCAATGATTCTCTAACTGATGCCAGCTCATGATGAAATCCTCCAACCAATCTGTGTGATTCATTTTGCCAGAGAATTTTAAATTTTTTTCACTTTTTGGGAGAAACTGTGCTTCACAACAATGTACATCTCCTTACCAGCAGACATCAAACAGGAAGTCATTTACAACAAGCTAAAGCTATACTACGTCTAATCTTGATTCATGACGTTCCGTAAGCAAAGCAGTAATAGTCTCACAACAGATTGATTTTTTTCTGACAAGACGGTCATGCAAGGTAGGAATCCAATAATACATAAATGTGACGTATATCTATTCACAATACAGACAAACAGACAATTTCATTGATGTACCCTCCCTTCCTACCTAGCATATAAGGAAAGCGCTGGGAAGCTAGAGGAGAGATGAAGTTGAGATAACTGCATACTACACTGGTGCAAACAAGTTAAACATTTTTGTATTCATCACAAAATTAAATAAATTCCACTTAAATTTTAGAAAAACCAAGGTGAGTGGCGTTTGCATTAACATAATAAAAGAGATAAAGACGGCTGATAGCAAAGTGTTTATCAATGATGAGATGAGGTAGATTTCGCCATTAGTATAGTACTGAACCATCCAGGAAACTTCTCCAGAGTTTTTGTTCGATGTGTAAATCATTTTACACTGCCGTAATTTCAAGCAGCAGCATCAAAAATAATTTAAATGAAGCATTTTCAACAGTTTATTTCTAATTCATTTGTCACTACTACTTAAATACTAATGCCCAAATGGAAAAGTTGTAGACAGAGAAGATAAAAACTGGACACCTCTTCCATATGTACATGATAAGTGTAAGCGCAATATCACTTGAAATTAAGTCACGCGTAGATAAAGGCTATCCTGGTCCAGAACAAACAAGAAGTCTGTCACTGTTTCTACGGTACATATAATAAACAAATTAATAATTATATATATATGTATATATATATATATATGCAACAAACATTAACGGTTTCAAGAGTACAAAGCACAACGCTTAACAGAAAGCAAAGCGGAATAACGTTAGAGCCACAATTGCGAACTAGCCGGAATCATACATGACCGTTCAGGTAAGCAGTCAGTAGAAGAATGAACCCAAGTAAGAGATAAACAGAGCATAGGCACAAAGATAGAATTTAATTGGCTACTTAACCAGGTAGGCTGATACAGATGAAGATCAGTAAATAAGATAAACTCAACAGAATAATACAAAGTAAGACATGGATCAGCAAAATAACAGTTCACAAAAATACAATGATTGAGGCATGAGTTCAACTATCTGACTAAACGGATCGATGTAAAAACACACACAGTTCATTAAACAAGGGGGTATAGACACGCTAGGCATGGATAATTGGGTTGCAACAACGCTAGGCTGATCCAGGACAGGTTGACTTCATTCAAGGATGGGAACTGAATTGCTCTTACAATAAGTGGTAACCGTTGGGTTTTGATTTACACTTATCAAAATTCCATAGTGTCACGTGATTCTAAATTTGTTGGCGTTACATGCCCATACACCAAATTTATCTTCTTGAAATTAGGCATACAGGAGGCATTTATTTTTGCTGTCACTATAACTAATCATTAGTTTGCAGTGATGGTTTACTTATTATGCTTCGCTTACTATGTCATGTGTTAAATAAAATTTTCTATAGCCCTCCTAAAAAAACACCACCAACAACTGGAGGTAGGTTGAAAAAAGATCATTCATTTGTACGATACCTATTTACAATTGTAACTTAAATTTTGCCATTATAATTCCCTCAAGACTGCCTTACCACCTACTGAAATCATTATGCAGGAGCTCATTTCATTTGCTGATTTCCTACCGGAATGGGAACGAACGAAAAAACCGAAATATGCTTTACTTAAACCTGCGTATTATCCTTTTTCGGTCGAATTATACTTTGAGCAGTATGATAACTGTCAGAGTTGAGAAGACAAACTGTCTCAAAGTTATTTTACATTTTAACAAACTACCACTTGCCAGTGACCACAGTATTCGTAAAAAAGACGAGTTAGCAATTGAATTCTCAGTGCACTTTACGTCACGCACCAGCGGCAGTTATGAAGTCATTGAAAACCAAAGAGCGTTAGACCTATGCTTAACCTTTATTCATGACTTTTCATGTGTACTTATTGGTGCTCTCAACAGAGACTGAGTGCACGACTTTTTCCTAAGAGCTATCCATGTGTCACTGGAATTCAGTAAAATATGTATTCTAACTGGTATTTTTTAAATAAATAACTTGCCAGAATCTGTCTTCCTTTGAACAATCTCTCCAGACCAGACATTATCGACTTCAGTGGTTGCAAACACTTGCTGAAAGTTAATCTGTCATCTCTGTGTGGGTGTTTCCTTCAAGGCTAGTCCATATATATATGCCTATTGTATCTGCCCACGCAAAGTGTTCGTTCTTATCTTACTCATGATCAAGATTTAGGACGTAAACATTGACGTAAATTGCTGTCTACCAATATTGGCTAGCAGACAGCTCTCACCACAATATATCCATGAGCAGGACTTTAATGAACCCCTTATAGATGTCGGAAGACTGCCAGTATCTACGTCATTCTCAAGTATTGGGTCTTTTAAGGATTTTGTTTTGACTATCAGTTAAAGAACCATTGGAAAACAGCTGTTCAGTACTCCCAGGTGGATTTCCAATGATTCTCTAAATGATGTCAGCTCATGATGAAATCCTCCAACCAATCTGTGTGATTCATTTTGCCAGAGAATTTTTAACTCGTATAATTTACATCATTTTGTAATCTACCAGAAGTAAGAGTACAACTTCTGTCAGAGCTATTTCACTTTTTGGGAGAAACTGTGCCTCCCAACAATGTACGTCTCCTTGCCAGCAGACATCAGACAGGAAGTCATTTAAAACAAGTTGAAGCTATACTACATCTAATCTTGGTTCACAACGTTGCGTTAACAAAGCAGTAATAGCCTCGCAACGGACTGAATTCATAAAGTTTCTGACAAGATGGTCGTGCTAGGTAGGAATCCAATAATACATAAATGTGACGTATATCTATTCACAATACAGACAAACAGACAATTTCATTGATGTACCCTCCCTTCCTACCTAGCATATAAGGAAAGCGCTGGGAAGCTAGAGGAGAGATGAAGTTGAGATAACTGCATACTACACTGGTGCAAACAAGTTAAACATTTTTGTATTCATCACAAAATTAAATAAATTCCACTTAAATTTTAGAAAAACCAAGGTGAGTGGCGTTTGCATTAACATAATAAAAGAGATAAAGACGGCTGATAGCAAAGTGTTTATCAATGATGAGATGAGGTAGATTTCGCCATTAGTATAGTACTGAACCATCCAGGAAACTTCTCCAGAGTTTTTGTTCGATGTGTAAATCATTTTACACTGCCGTAATTTCAAGCAGCAGCATCAAAAATAATTTAAATGAAGCATTTTCAACAGTTTATTTCTAATTCATTTGTCACTACTACTTAAATACTAATGCCCAAATGGAAAAGTTGTAGACAGAGAAGATAAAAACTGGACACCTCTTCCATATGTACATGATAAGTGTAAGCGCAATATCACTTGAAATTAAGTCACGCGTAGATAAAGGCTATCCTGGTCCAGAACAAACAAGAAGCCGGTCACTGTTCCTACGGTACTATTAATAAACAAATCAATAATTATATATACAACAAATCTTAACGGTTTCAAGAGTACAAAGCACAACGCTTAACAGAAAGCAAGGTACCGCTATCAGAGCGGAATAACTTTAAAGCCAAAACTGCGAACTAGCCGGAATCAGACACGACCGTTCAGGTAAGCAGTCAGTAGAAGAATGAACCCAAGTAAGAGATAGACAGAGCAAAATCACAAAGATGGAATTTAATTATCTACTTACACAGGTAGGCTGATACAGATGAAGATCAGTAAATAAGATAAACTCAACAGAATAATACAAAGTAAGACATGGGTCAGCAAAACAACAGTTCACAAAAATACTCTGATTGGGTCATGAGTTCAACTATCTGACTAAACGGATCGATGCATAAACACACACAGTTCATTAAACAAGGGGGTATAGACACGCTAGGCATGGATAATTGGGTTGCAACAACGCTAGGCTTATCCGGGACAGGTTGACATCATTCAAGGATGGGAATTGAATTGCTCTTACAATAAGTGCTAACCGTTGTGTTTTGATTTCCTCTTATGAAGATTCCGTAGTGTCGCTAAATTCTCAACTTTTTGGCGTAACACGCGTATACACCAAATTTATCTTCTTGAAATTTGGGATACAGGAGGCATTTATTTTTGTCTTCATGATATAGCGGGGCTCCCGTTGGCTTAGTGGTATTCGAGCTCGCCTTGTAACCAGAAGGCTCTGGGTTCGAACCCCGGTAGGTGCGTACTGCTAAAGAAATCCCATAACCGAACAGCATTTATTTTGCTGTCACTATAATTAATCATTGGTGTGCAGTGATGGTTTACTTATTATGCTCTGCTTACTATGTCATGTGTTCATTAAAATTTTCTATAGGCGTCCTAATGGAAATCCACCAAAAACTGGAGGTAGGTTGAAAAAAGATCATTCATTTGTACGATACCTATTTACAATTGTAACTTAAATTTTGCCATTATAATTCCCTCAAGACTTTCTTGCCACCTAATGAAATCATTATTTTTTTTATTCCTTCACGTTCCCAGTGGACCATAGGGCTTCAAGCCTGTAGCTTGAAGTTTCTGTAGCAGGGTTCATTTTTTACAGGACGGGATTGTTAGCCTCATGCCCAACTTTCCTCTTCACTAGATTTAGTTCTGGCTTAGCGAGGTAAAGGAGTGCACCAGGTGGAGATGGAACTCCGGACCATGTGCATGGTCGGAGAGCGTCCTTACCGCTATGCCACCGACGCACGAAATCATTATGCAGGAGCTCATTTCATTTGCTGATTTCCTACCGGAATGGCAACGAACGAAAAAACCGAAATATGCTTTACCTAATTCTGCGTATTATCCTTTTTTGGATGAATTATATTTTGAGCAGTATGATAACTGTCAAATTTGAGTAGAAAAACTGTCTCAAAGTTGACATTTGTAAAAGATTATACTTGTAAAGTCTCAGCGAGATTGAAATGAGTAATTCCAACGTTTCGTTCGGCAATCTGGTCTGAACTTCTTCAGGGAAATTAATCGAAATTAACATAACATATACGAAGAAGTTCGGACCATTTTGCCGAACGAAACGTTGGAATTACTCATTTCAATCTTGCAGAGACATTACAAATATAATTTTTTACAAATGTCTACTTCTCACTCGGCGTCCAAATATTTTAGAACTATTCTGTCAAAACTTGACGACAGTTCATTTGAATTAGTCTCAAAGTTATTTTACATTTTAACAAACTACCACGTGCCAGTGACCACAGTATTCATAAAAATGATGAGACAGGCATTGAATTCTCAGTGCACTTCACGTCACGCACCATTGACAGTTAAGAAGTCATTGAAAACCAAAGAGAGTTAGACTTATGCTTCACCTTTATTCATGACTTTTCATGAGTACTTATCAGTGTTCTCACCATTTGTCACTGGAATTCAGTAAAATATGAATTCTAACTGGTGTTTTTTTAAATAAATAACTAGCCAGAAACTGTCTTCTTTGAACAATCTCTCCAGACCAGACATTATCGACTTCAGTGGTCGCAGTCACTTAGAAATCGAAGACGTTCAACTTCAGGCTATTCGTTAGTGAATTTCTAAACTCAGAATAGGGCTGAATAGAATGTGCAATGAACCTTTTGTTCAGTGGTCCGTGATCTTCAATGAATTTTTAAACTCTTAAATGTTTATTCTAATTTCCAAGCTAAGATGTATCAAACTTAACTTATGAACTAAGATGGCGATTCCATGCGTAGACGCTATAAACACGTGTATAGTCAGCAAGACTAGTGTTATTTTCTACCCAAATTTATTGCCCAACTCACTTGATTTATACATATTGACGACGTTTGTTAGTGGAAAACTGCTTAGTATCGAAGTTATGTATTCGAATGACGCAGTCATTAATACTTCTTATGTTTCCAAACACGAAAGTATAAAATCACAGCTTACGCCTCCACATGAATTTCATAGGATATCCATATATACATTGTGGAGTATTCGGTACCAGGATACTTCTGGCAATTTATTTGACACCCTCTAGGTGATAAAGGAGGATTCTTCAATGCTGGCATTGTGACCGGTTTGGAGGTTGTGGTTTGACATCGAAATGTTGATGGTTTTCATTACACCTATATTTAAACACACACTGGTAAACGTTCTCGAGCATGAAAAATGAAGTTCCTAGAATAACAGCCACTTTAACTCTCTTCTTAAGCGCAGTGCAGTGGGGAAATTTATCGATATATATTCCTTGTTATTCATTACCACTTACTTTCTAATAGTGCTATTAAATTTAGTAATACAATTATACACACTTCTACATACATATATATTTTGCCCTATCATCTACTGCGAATACATCTGCAAAAAGCTTTTGGAATTCTGAAGCCAGTTACTTTAAAAAAAACATTATTTCTCCTGACATCCTAATTCTAGATTTGATGGAGATTTGTATCTTAGGTGGATGATTTTGATGTGGTTGTGTTCTCTGAGCTGGGTAGTTAATTTGTGGAGCTATCATCACCCCACTACGCAACATCTTCAGCGCACGCTTCATTTTGAATTGAAGTGAGCTTTTAGATTTCTCCACGAGTTTATTAATCATCTCTCCCGGTGACCTTGGACTTGATTAGTTTTTTTTGTGTTTTCACACCTCCTAGGCTAATTGTATTGGAACTGATTGTTTCCTTGACTTGAACTTTGACCCTTTATATGTGGGGTTTCCTTCTTTTCGGTTGTCTGTATCGATATGTCTATTGATTGATGATTCATTGGAAAACTAGCTAGGCTTCTTGTTGTTTCCTCTGCCTAATATGTGAATGTTGGTTGTCCCAGTCGAATTGATGTCCATGGTTGTCTGTATTTAGTGATATGAGTGAGGGAGTGGATGTCATGTCTTTTGATGGCTAGCTTATGTTCATGGACACGAAGACAAAGAGGACATCCACTTTGGACATCTCACACACAAAGAGTCAGAGTTCAAGTCAATACAAGTAGCCTAGAGGGTGTGAAAACACACAAATCAATCAATCACGTGTAAGTTCAACAGGAGAGATGACTAATAAACCCGTGGAGAAAACTAAAAGCTGACTTCAATTCAAATTGAAGTATGCGCTGAAGATGTTGTCTAGTAGGGCACTGAAAGCTTCGTAAATTAACTATCCAGCTCTGAGAACACAACAACATAAAAACCCTAATTCGTGCATCATTATGAATATTTAATTGTAGAACCAGATGTTGACATTATCAAAAAGAATATTCTTCCTTCAGTAAACATTCTTGAAATTTCAAATAATTTTGTAATTTAATAATTAATGAAAAATTCAATTTACTTTTAGGTCCACTTAGGTATGTGTTACTTTCAGTATAAACTTCAATCATGTGGACGACTGAGAGCGGAATATTCATGGTATCCGTGTAAGGTTTTCCTTAAACAGCTTATTGTTGAGCAGTCTGGACACCTCCTCCATAGTTCAACCTATGTGAGCAAACTGGAAGCCTTTTACTACCAGAATTAGAAGTGCCATCAAAATAATCATTGATTAGTAACATTTTCGACTGGATCGTTTTCACTCACATGAATGTTACATAACTGAAAATGTCTTCAACTGTGTGTGTTTAATGTGTCATTATGTGAATGAGCAAGTGACTCTCAAATATAAATATCAGAATATGTAAACTGTCGACATCTGACCCGTGATTTCTTTTTAGATATGTGATCTTTGTTTCCGGAACTAGATTCTGATACAGAGAACAACATTTAGATACGCCTCATAATAATCGACTGTTTTATATGCTTCCATACCTGTGTGTGAGAATCCAGCATACATCGCAGACTCCATTTAGCTGTGCAGTCAACTTCTTTGATCCAGTCTGAATATACCTCTTACAAAGTAGAATATTGACACAGAACTTCTGCTTCGTCTTCGTATTCTTCTATAACTTTTATACTGTCACTAAGTTCTCAATTTCTTGACGTCATATCATATTTCAAAATCATCTCCTTGAAAGCACCTAATGTCATATGCTCCATCACATGGCTAATTTATCAACGGTAATTTGCTGTACATGGTTCATCTACTGTCCGTTTCATGGAATCTTTCTTTTCTCTATGCCTCCAGAAAACCACAATAAGTCAGAGTAGGTATGTAATAATTTATTGTTTTTTGATGGTATTTATAATTTTTTTTATTCCTTCACGTTCCCAGTAGAACATAGGGCCTCAAGCTAGATGCTTGAAGTTTCTGTAGCAGTGTTTATTTTTACAGGATGAGGTTGCTAGCCTCATGCCCAACCTTTCCTCCTTACCACTTTTTATTACCGGCTTAGCGAGGTAAATGAGTGCGTCGGCCGGGGATCGAACCCCGGACCAACAACGTGGTCGGCGAGCGTCCTAACCGCTGTACCACCGACGCCCTATTTATATTATTATTATTATTATTTCCTTTAGTTCCTAGAGGAACATAGGGCTTCAGCCATGCGTCTCCATTGCGTTCGATTCTCTGCTAGAGTTTTCACCTGGCTCCAGGTCTGCCCACATGCTTTCATCTCCTCTTCACATGATCTCCTCCAGGTCACCCTTGGACGACCAACTCGTCGCTTCCCTTTCGGGTTCCACTCAAGCAATGGCTTGTCTAGTGATGTCACGTGATGATGGTTTCCTCAGAGTGTGGCCAATCCATCTCCATTTTTTCCTGCCTATTTGTTTCACAATGGGTTCCTGGTTGGTTCGCTCCCAGAGATCTTTGTTGCTGATCCTTTCCGGCCCTATTTATAATTACGCGTATAATAATGCCCCTAAAATTCTCACAAGGCTGTTTATCAGTATTTTGATTTATTTTCGTGAGATAGGCCTATGTCAGATGAACTTTTGAGTTTGATATCTGTTGGATGAATTACTGCAGTGAAATATTTTTGTGACAACACTTTCATTATTACTAGAGGTGAGAATTCACTCTGTTCTAGAAATATTTGCGTTTAAATTAATACTACTTATAAGTAACAGAAATATTCCTAGAAATAATTCCTTTTCGATTGATGATCCACCAAAATTTGATTGGTGTTTCTGATTTATCATGCACTGACTTCAGTCAGATAACCGCCAGAAAACAGCAGTGCTTACTTGAAAGCTGTTTCCTTCCAATTTAGGAATTCTGAGTGGTAGGCACTCATTAAGCCACCAGAGCTGTAAACTAGAATCTTCAGATTACAAGGCAAGCTCGTATACTTATGGATTTGCCATTGCAGTTATGAAGACTTCACTGTCGAAGTACTCAACTCAGGAAAACTATTATGATCACATTTTAAGTATTTTTTTTCTTTTCCTTCACGTTCCCAATGGAACATAGGGCTTCAAGCTAGAGGCTTGAAGTTTCTGTAGCAGTGATGTTTATTTTTACAGGATGGGGTTGCTAGCCTCATGCCCAACCTTTCCTTTTTACCAGATTTATATCTGTCTTAGCAAGGTAAAGGAGTGCGTAGGCTGGGGGTCGAACCCCCGACCATGTGCATGGTCGGCGAGGGTCCTAACCGCTATACCACTGACGCACGAAGCATGTAAGTACATGGTATGAAATGCTATTTCATATATACTTAAACACTATCGTATGTGCTGTAATAAAATACATAGAAAATGATAATAATTTTATTCCCTTAAGCAAATCACAAGGCCGAATAAATATGCCTTAAATAAGTTAGTGGATATCATGTGGAAACTTGAATAACTAATATCCTTTTATTATATTTCATCTTTTAGCTATATGCTGCCAGGAAATTCCCCGGGGAAATCCAATTCATCTACCTGAAGCGGCTTAAACACAGTCGCCTAAATAATTTGCTTTTAAAAAAGACTGCATATTTCAACTTCACGCTTTCTTGTTGCATTACAAAATTGCTTATTATAATATAGATTTTGCTTAAATGTTGAGTAACTTTTCCCTTTGAGCTTGGTGCATGTTGATGATAAAAAAGTAGAATATGAACAGAAAAGATTGTCTATTCAAGTATTGGTTTGTAGGGATCTGATTGATTGAATTGGTGGTGGATAGTGTCTAGCAGTGGAATTCAGAATGTGCATTTCGACCTATTTAGGGCTCGCCAGCTGCATTTACCTGGATTCCCCAGTGAGTGATTATGTTCTCGCATCCTGGATTCTGTTATAAAGTTCAATTCCTCAGGCTAAGAAGACACAACAATATCACAGATATCCATACGAGCTAGGAAAACAAGTATTCTCTTATATTTCAATGCATAGTTCATTCACAAGGGCGAACTGAGACTACTTGACCGACTGTTTTTTGTCGCACAACGTATTTCAAAAGTAACAGATCACCGCATGTACCAGTGTTGGATTTCAAAATGCGATTTAGCGTATTGATGCATTTGTGGATAAAATCTGTGGATGTCTGCATTTCACTGAGCATTCCGCCGTACTCCAGGTACTCATTGAAGATATTCACTACAAAAAAGATATGCAGATGGTTTTAGTAATTTCGGAATTCCTATTAACACGTTTAGAAAAACAAAATGTTGGGTGAAGAAATATGTTTAATTTTAATTACTTCCTCAACATGGCCTATACACTAATATAAAATTCTCCACATCAAAATATAAATAATCTTGATTTCTATTGGCGATATGACGATGATACATTGATAGTTTGGAGTGAAGAAAGAAAGAAGGAGAAAATTACTCTGTCTTGTTTCTGCATGTCGCAGTAAACAATCGAACAGACGGCACAATGTGTAGATGCTTGCATCGGAAACCTATATCAGCTAGGCGATATACTCACTTTCTGAGTTTCGTGCATCTACACTGTGAATGTAAGATGTCTGGTTCACACAGCTAAAGCCATTTGTCCAAATGAAACACCGGGTGAAGAACTCAGTAATATTCGTGTCCTACAAGGCGGAGAAAGATATCAGACAAAGTTTTTAAATAAACATATGACTTTAACAAGTAGGCTACTGAGGGTGCTCACAGTTCCCCAAAAATCACTGTTCCTAAGATTGAGATTCACAGAAGATGTTAATACTGAGGTCTGAGAAGGTCTGTCAAAAGGACTTTTAATGCAGCTTAGTTATGCTGTTTATTTATCTCGTCGAAGCGCGACACAAGATTGACTCTAACAAAGCTTTTATAGTTATTTATCATATTTCACGCAAACTCTCGAAGGTCTATGGGAACAACTTTCACATACACCAGAGGCAAACGAAATACTTCTGAAAAGGATAATTTTCTGTGTTCAAAAGAAATTTTTGCAGCCCCTTGCTTAGCCCTGACCAACTGCATAGCTTGTTTTAAGTTTCTAAGAAAGATTTCTCCCATCGCCATGTAAATATCATTTGACTTTTTTGGTTTTTACAGTCTTAGCTAATTCAGTTAACTTGTTCGTATCTTACGTAATTCTGCTGAGATATTCTATTCCTATTAGTCATCATTATTTTACGAAATTCGTGATTATTTAATAACTCGTTGCTTACCCCTACGAATTAACTCCTCCTAATTTCCACCCTTCCTTCAAAACTTAGATATCTCGTTGCTGACATTTTCTAGCTAATCATTATGATGATTGTTAGTCTCTTAATTTCACCTTCCCTGTATACCCAAACTAGATAAATTTTATGGATTAAATTGACCACACCACTGGTAAAAAACTAGTTTAGAACCGATGATGAGGAACTAATTTTAAAAAATACGTTTCTTTGCTCAATCTGTTGTTGTTTCTTAACAATATTATAAGTATAAAACAATTAGTTCCCTTTATGAATTTACATAAAGCAATAAGAAGACGTAATTTGTCTGAATCGTGTAATGTTGTATTTGCGCAACACATTTCGAACAATCTGATCCATCACACACGGACTTGTCATAGGAATATATATGAAATTAATAAAGAGGTAAGAGGTGAGAAAATTGACTTAGGTCAAGTTAAAAAGACACATTCAAGGTCAATGTAACAATGAAGACCACTAAACCAAATAACAGAGGTAATAGTACATCTGCTATGGCATCAAAACGAAATTTACCAAGGAAGGTTCAATGTGATGACCAATTGATTTTGAACGCATAAAGGTGGCTCAAACTTTATAATTGCCAGCTAGGGCTTCCACAAACTTTAGGATACGCCCCAAACACGTTTTTTAGATAGGTTTAAAAGATCTGTTAACGTCAATTTTATGTCCTGTCTCTATTATATGTTTCGCAATAGAAGAGCTAGGTCTCCTGTTCTCACCGTGCTCAATGTTCAACAAGGCGATATTCACTGATATTGATTGCATGGAGGATTTCATCACGAGCTGACATCAGTTAGAGAACTACTGGAAAACCTAGGATTACTGGACAGCTGTTCCGTCCTAGTTTGAGACTCTTCATCAGTACGCACCCACCGGGATTCGGACACAGGACCTTCTGGTTACAAGGCGAGCTCGTAGACCGTTAAGCTACCGGGACCCGGTCCAATGGTCCTTGAATTCTAGCTTGATGAAATCCTCAATGCAATCTAAAACAAAATCCCTACAAAACCAATACTTGAAAATTCACTGATTTCTTGCAAGAATTTAAATGTCTTTCCATAAAAGTGTTAACAAGTTGATCTAAAAGTGTAACTACAGAAGACAAAAGCCAGGCAACAGATGGTTTATGAAGGAAAATCAACACATATTTATAAATTTTGATGTGCATTATTGTAGGTTATTGCTAGTAGAAAATGCAGTCTTTTGATTGGTTGTTTCTCACAGAAAGTTAACCTTGCATCTCTTTGTGGTTGTGTCAGATCAGCCATATGCTAACTGTATCCACCTACGCAAAGCCTTTCTTCTCATTTTCTCACCACCAATATTGGGGACATAAATACTGACATCAATTACTGTCCACCAACTTTGGATAGCAGCCAGCTCTCCCCACAAAAGCACTTCAATAGCCCTAGTGACAGCTTTTATGGCCTTTCACGATGAACCAAATTCTTTCTGAATTATTTCAGGAAAGACTGAGGGAAAACAATAAAGAAGAATAGGTAGAGACTTAGTGATACCAGATTGCCTTAACTGCCTTACGCAGAACGTTGGACAAAACATTTCTCTGGAGAGGAACACGATTCGGGAAAACCCGGGAAGTCCAGAGGAAATACAATTCATCTGACTTAGTTCTAGCTTCATTGCCTTCTCTGATTAAAGAATCACAGGGAAAAACTAGTTCGTTTCAATCACATGTGTGTCTGAAAGTGAAATTAGCAATCTGACATGTGGAAAGATTTAAATAGATGCAAAATGTACATGGAATATGGTAGCCCAAAATGTTCAAACAGGCCGCCAAGGTTAAGGTCACTTTTTAGCTTCAGACCATTCGACAAGGACCACCTACTATTTTCTGATAAATATCAATACATTTGGGAACATTCTGGTTGAGAATTAACCTGCACAGGAACCGTCAGATCATCAGCATTCCTGTATACTCATGAGTAACTTGGATAACGATTAGAACTCCAGTTTTGGGTAGCACGCCTCTTCGGATGATTTCGGTTTCAAGGAATGGTTAGCATGGCATTGTAATGTACCCACATATTATAAGCGATTACGGATCAGAAACTTGGCGGGTCACAAAGAATATTTCCAACAGCCTGTTGCAGACCTTTATCAACAACTGTCTTCGCTGGCTCTATACTGAAGATCAGATGGCCAGAAAGAATCACCAACAAGAAACTATGGGAACAAACAAAACAAGAAACAATCGCTCAACAAATATGCAGGAGAAAGTGGAGGTGGATTGAACACTCACTGAGGAGGCCGTTGCGTGACATCGCGCACCAGGCCCTCGAGTGGAACCCGAAAGGGAAGCGGCGAGTGGGACGTCCAAGGGTGACATGGAGGAGACCGTGTGAAGAGGAGTTGAAACAGTAGGGATTATTTTGGACGCAGGTGAAAAGTACAGCAGAGGAAAGAAGGAAGTGGAGACGTGGAGTTGAAGCCCTATGTTCCACTAGGAACCCAAGGGAACAATAATAATTATATTATAAGCAAGTGTCAAAATAATACAGTTAACGTAAGGTATCTCTTGTCAAAATCGAAGAAAAAATAATCCATTTACCGACATCTTTTTATGTGAAAAATAGAAGACGTTCAGCGAAGAGACTCTTTTCGGCGAATTCATTCACACAGCTGTATAATCGCATTTATGTATAATTATTTGTGTGTGTGTACATGAGGTTTTTCAAGTTTAGATAATTGATCAGATAATACAGGAATGATCTAATATAGAAACAAAGTTAATCAGACAGCAACTAAAGTAAGATTGAGTTAGTAAGTTAGATGACGTAATATAATTGACTAAAATGTTCTAACTTAGATCAGAGTAGCAACAGAGGTAATTACAGGTAGAGATTAAGTAGAAGTGAAATTGAGTGAATAAGTTGGATGACGTAACATGAATGACTAGAAACTGAGCGTTGTTCAAGTCAGTAACAGTGGTAGTGAGGTGTAGAAATTAAATCGAGTGGGCTAGAGAACAAGAAAGTTGAAAATGTAAAATGTTACAACTGAGAAGACAAAATAATACTAATGAAGAGACAGAAAAAAAGATTAGGTAGAATTTACTTGTTGGCTAATAAGATAGATTACGTCCATTGCAAGTGTAGTGATTGAACGAACTTCTTCTGTATGCAGAGTTCAGGGCTTGACAAGTGAATCGCCATTGCTTCTGCAGTTTGAAGAAGTCTGATTCGTACACCTTTAGGAAGACTACTTCCTACTCTGTAGACGACTTTGAAGTTTGTTTGCAGTGTAGCTTGGTGTCCGGATTCTATCAGATATTCTAAGATGGAACTGCAGGGGTATCGATTTTCTCCTTTGTAAAACCATGTTGGTAAGTGTTCGGTGATGCGTTTGGAAATCGAGCGGTGGGTACGGTCGACATACCTGGCTCCAC